TGACATGGAAATATGGCACGCTGTACATTAGTGATTTCCCAAGTGTTCGGATCAGATAGTGATGTGCGGAGAAAGTGCTCTTTGTCTACCCACACAGGGTGCATGGAGAGTAGTGGGAGAATGCTTCCCCTGGAAATTACCTTAGTTAGAAAAGGAATCCATTTACAACATGCACCTTTCAGACAATGCACTGTATTAAAGAGGCATTTTTGATTAATGTTTTATAAACATTTTTCAGCATGACAGCTTAAAGTCCCTGTAAAATTGTAAATGTGTGCCTAGTGTTCACTCCCATAAAGTCAAATGCCATCCCATAAAGTCTGGTTGAATCCTGTCAACCATGGTGACACAGAACCTGGGAGCATTAAAATTAATTTGCTTCATTTATATTACCACAGTGATAGCAAGATGAAAAGAATCTCATATTTAAATTTCCCTTTAAAAGGAAAACTCAAGTAAGTCTGTTTGGGGTTTTAAGTTATTGCTAGTTTGGTTTTTTGGTTTTGTTTTGTTTTTCCTAATTAACAAACATAGTAAAAATGAGGTGATAATCTGTATAGTGGCTTTATTAGGATTTGAAAGAACCATTTGTTCATGGGTTCTTTCATGAGTACCTACCCTGCCCTCAAGGATGAATAGTGAGTAGCTGCTGGCGGGAGGCCTGATGAAGGAAACAGAAGCATACAAAAGTTCAGGGCCTTTGTGGGTCAATACAGGAGGAGGGCTCCACAGCTCAGTCTCAAGACTGTAGGCTGCACTTTCAGAGGAGGCAACATAGGAACAGAAGGCTAACGGGTAAAGTGGGCACCAAGAAATGATGGGCATCTAGACCAAGGAAGCTGAGCAAAGGCCTAGCAGCCAAGGTGGATGGAAAATAGCTCTGAGGCTGCCACAGGGGCTGGAGTGTAGGGACCAAAAAGCAAAGGAGGGGTGAGGTCTGGAGGGGAGGGGGGAGGTCTAGATGGGAGGGGTGAGATCTGGAGGGGTGAGGTCTGGAGGGGAGGAGGGGAGATCTAGAGAGGAGGGGTGAGATCTGGAGGGGAGGGGTGAGGTCTGGAGGGGAGGGGTGAGGTCTGGAGGGGAGGAGTGAGGTCTGGAGGGGAGGAGGGGAGATCTAGAGAGGAGGGGTGAGATCTGGAGGGGAGGGGTGAGGTCTGGAGGGGAGGAGGGGAGATCTGGAGGGGAGGAGGGGAGATCTGGAGGGGAGGGGTGAGATCTGGAGGGGAGGGGTGAGGTCTGGAGGGGAGGGGTGAGGTCTGGAGGGGAGGGGTGAGGTCTGGAGGGGAGGGGTGAGGTCTGGAGGGGAGGGGAGCACAGGGTCTCTGCATGTCTCCACATAATCAGACTGCACTGAGAATACTCTCCAGGCTCTGTGGATGGCTGGCATTCTGCCATGGTACCTGAGTGCATCAGCGGCTGGAATAGGAAATCACTTGGGCCCCTGACATCAGGTTAGAGTGTGTGGTTGGGGTGTTCTGCTCCTGCACCTCATGGTAGCCAGGAAACAAAAGCAGAGAGAGGAGGAGACTAGGGGCCCAGTGACCCTTCCAGGGCACCCAAGTGACCCGAGTTCCTCCCACTGGGTTCCATTCTTTAAGGGTCCACCACACCCCAAGAGGTCAGACCTTTAGCCACTGGGCCATATCTAGCTGTGGTACGGGGCTCTGGCACAGCCATCTTTCAGGTACTTAGCCAGCGCACATGCCTGCTAGTGAAATGAATGGATGAGTGTTCCAGTGAGCTATTAACCCTGTGAGAGAAGAGGGCAACACTGTCCCTGTCTGCAGACTGCTGAATAAATACTACAGCGGTTTCCTGGTTCAACATGACAGATCCATTGCCAGGTGACAGAAGTCAAGTATACTGGTATGGTGGCTTCAGGAGAATGCTGTTGCCCAGATGTCGCTGGACACCTGGCAGAGGGACCCAGGGCATAGGCCCTGCTGACTGGGGACTGTCATCCTGCCATTTCTCCCACCTTCTCTTTCCACCCAGAGCCTGGAGAACATGGGAGCCCACTGTGATCAGGCTCAGCTAGGGCTCGGGAACACTGAAACAAAGCAACATCGAAATAAATTGGTTGAGCTGGGCATGGTGGCTCACACCTTTAATCCCAGCACTCAGGAGGTAGAGACAGATGAATCTCTGTGAGTTCAGACCAGCCTGGTCTACAGAGTGTTCTAGGGCTACACAGAGAAACCCTGTCTCAAAACCTAAAAAGTAACAACAACAACAGGTTAAGAGGAACTGTAAAATTTGAAAAGGAAAGTAGGTATTTGAATGATGGAAAAGTAAGATAGACTTTAAGACTGAAACAATTGGGGTGACTTTAATTGCTGGAATGCCCCTGTCATCACACTACAGGACAGACCCAGGGGCTGACGCCTCACCAGTGAACACTAAGATTCTTACCTCTGATATATAATTTCCAGCCCTATTTTTAATGTTAGTCACTGGGGAAGTTAGTGGTAGGAAGTGTGATAAATAACCACCAAGAAAGTATTATAGGACATACAGTGGGGGGAAGAGAGTCCTAGTTAATGTGACAAATGTCTGCACAGCTGCAAGTCATCTTGGATTCCTTCTCATTCAGGCAAGGCAAATGACTGTCATACAAGGCACAGTAAGAATCAGGCCACCAGGGTCTGTCAGGAAAATAGAGTCACCCTTTGGGTGACAGGAAGGGGAGAAGGTCCATGAGGAAACACGGGAGCCGTGGTGTTAGGAAGTGGCCAAAGCTGGGACCAAGGGAATTAGGGCTCTCAGAGCCTAGATGCTTAGAGAAGGAAGTGGGTAGCGGGGCTCAGGCTTCAAGCCAGTGAGGTCCGAGAGGCACAGAGAGCTACTGGTGGGAGCCTGTGAAGATGTCAGTGCTGGCTGAAGCAGAGCAGTGGGAGTGAAGAACTCCCTGCCCCTCCCATCTTCACATCCAAACTAGCAAGACCATTGAGGGCACAGCCAGCCAGGAGGACCGAAGTGTGCGGAGTTCCTGTGAACACAGGGTGTGTTTGAAGATGAGAGAAATGATCTGAGGGAAGCTGCGGCTCAAGAGCATCAGGCCTCCAGTTCAAAGACCTGCAAGACCACCAGCACACTAGAAGCTTCTAGAAGGTCAGGCCTTGGCCTTGTTGGGGTGGCCCTAACAGTAGCTCTGCTTTTCATCCATGTGAAATCCCAGCACCATTGTGGTGTGGGGATCAAGGGAGTTCAAGGTCTGCTGCCCTGGAGAAGCTGCAGTCCAGAGGCCTTGGTTTGCAGTGTCCTCAGCATCCTGAGTGATGCCACCTAGGAGTGACCTTGGAATGCAGCTGATTTGTGCCTTCTGCTTCATCACAGTCGAGGGGCCCTCTGGTGTCATCTTATTTAACTTGGGTAGTTTGCAGTTGGTTCTGTTTGCTTGATAACTGCAGCAGCACGTGGTACCCAGCTTCTCTTCTGAACCCACTTCAGCCTGCTGGAGAAAAGCACAGAGCCTGGATTCATGGCCACAGCAAGATGCCTTGGACGAGTTAGCTCAGCAATGATACTCCTTAAATTTCAGCCTGCTCTCGTTTCACTTTTAAAGACAAAAAAATCTCCACACTTCTATAGTTTGTTCCCTTCAGGTTCCCTCTACCTCAGGAACCCTCCCCACCCACCCACCCATGCCTCCTTAGAAGTCCCTCAGGGGTAGCAGAACTCGTCAAACTTCCTCATTCTTCATTCTGCATGACATCCGGTGTGGACCACGGAAGGGAGAGTTGGTCTACAAAGGGGAGTGATGGCTCCTGTATGTCCTCCTTAACTTCCCAAGGCTGTACATAACACTTTACAACACATGGATTTTTAAGCTTATACTTTAAAAAAAAAAAAAAAAGAGCTATTATATTTTGTTTTCTTTTGTTTTTTGTCTTGTTATTTGTTCTGAGTTTTATAGTGAACATGGAAATAGAAGACAGAAAGTATCTCAAGTATGAAGCTCTGTGAGAGGTTCCTATTTGGGAAAGGTTTGGTGTTTCCAATTTATAGCAGTACTGTGTGCAGCTATGAAAAAGAGCAGTTTTTGCATAAAGGTTTGAAATTTATTAGAAGGTTAAAAATAATTGAAAAAGCCAATCCTTTCCTGTTGTGTTGTAATAAAAAGTTAATTTGTATACCATCATCGGGCATGTTTAGGAACTTGGGTCCTTTTCAAGACCATTTCCGAAGAACAAGAAGGAAGCTGCACTCTTAAAGCACTTGGTTGTAAGAGCTGACTTGTACACAGCAGCTCCAAAGAGCACCGCCATAGGAAAGCAATAGCAGTAACTCATAAGCTGCTAGTTGTCTGCATTCTGCTAAAGAAGCCAAACGTGGTGGTTGCCTAGAAACAGGCACACCCCCACTCTTTTAGAATAGAATGGTAGATTCATAGCATATCCATCTATTTGGGTTCCATCAGGCCTTCTCTTAAGCACTAGTTTTACAGTTTACCTGCTGCACACAAATGTGTTCTGTGTCTGCAAAGTACATTGGGATCCTTGGCCTTGAGAATAACATTCAGGGTTTGTGGGTGAAGCACCTTCTTAGAAGTTGTGAGGTCCTGGGTTGAATCTCAGGACTTCCGTCCAGCTAAAGTATCTTCCCATGACAGCTGTCTATACCACACATTATGTTCCTGTATCTTTGGGGATCCTTAACAACCACTATACTCACACCACTGAGCAAGGGGAGATCCACGGTTAACGGCTCCTTAGTCCTTTGTTGCCTTCTTAGAGCAACTCCTTCATCCTTCAGTCTTCTGCCTCCTGATGAAGGGGCTGCCAGTTTTGGGTGGGAGCCACTGGTTCCAAGTAGAGCTTAGAACGTTGTATTGTAGATAGACCTGTCAGCTGTATTTGAGAACTTCCCGGTTCAGGTCTGTGAATATGCGTAGGGAAATATAGTCATAATCCATTCAAATTCTGATTTTCATGGAGTATGCCTTTAATTTGACACCAGCCTGATTTGCCTCTATGTTTTCTGTCTCCTTGGTTGAACAGGAATTCCAATGCTGAAGATAGTGTTTGCAGGCCACGAGCATCTCTCGTTAATATCTGTGCCCTTGCTCATCTACCACCCAGCTCAGATCCTTCTGGGAAGTGTGTTAGTGCCAACAATAAAGTCTTGGATGGTGTCAAGGCAGAAGGTGAGGATCTTGATTAGACTGAAATGTTCTTTCTAGACTCAAATGATGATTCATATACTTACTTTTTCTGGTATCATTTTTCAAATGTATGTAATAACGGGTCTGGGGAGATGACTGAGTGGTCAAATTACTTCTTGTTCGAGCATTAGCACCTGAGTCAGTCTATAGAAAACGCTCTGGGAGATAGAGACAAAAAGATCCACTCTAGCCATGCACACAAATGAGAGACCGTGTCTCAAAAAATAAGACAGTAAGCGATTGAAGAAGACACCAGCACACGAGGACACATATGTGTACATACACACAAACACACACACATATACAAATAAATGGATAATTACAGTATACATTGGTCCATTCAATTTGATCAAGAAGAATCAATACTAAATGTCTCTTTGGGGTTTGTTTGTTTGTTTGTTTGTTTGCTTTTGAGACAAGGTTTCTCTGTGGCTTTGGAACCTGTCCTGGAACTAGCTCTTATATACCAGGCAGGCCTCGAACTCACAGAGATCCACTTGCCTCTGCCTCCCGAGTGCTGGGATTAAAGATGTGTGCCACCACCGTCCGGCCTGAATGTCTTATAAAAGAGAATAATACTTGCAATGCAATTTTCAAATAGTCTAACACACTCAGATTCAAGAGAATATTGTTGGGATGTTTAAAATATAAACCACCTCTTCGCTGTGGACCTGGGCACCCTTCCTCTGTGCTTTTCTGAATATGACCAAAACTGTACTTAGCCACAATGCATTTTCCCAGTATGGTAAAGTTGTGTTTGGGAATTAAAATGTAGAAGATAACTATCAAAAGCACCCTCACAATATTAATTTCACCATACTTAGTATGGGTAGGTTCTTTAGATTCAATTTACAAAATTTTTAACCAAAATAGTAAAGTCGGTGCTACAAAGACATTTAGATGATGCACAGAATTTGGTATTACAATGGAATGCTCTCTTTCTAGTGGCTTGGCCCTGGCAGGAGTAATTTTTAGCAGTGAGTGCTAACAGAGATCTATGAGAGGAGGCATCCAGTGGCACAGCACACTGTGTGACAGGATGTCCACAGGATGTGTGTGCCAGGCAGGTCCCAATCTCTGCCTTGGTCAGACAATGGGCGTTGAGGCCTCCTGCCTGAGTTCACAGCTTAGCTGCAACCACACACATGATAGCACTATGGTCGCCACTTTACAGGCTAGGAAATGAGATGAGAGAGTTCATCAGTTTGCCCAAAGTCCTGTGTGTAACTTGGTGCTAGATTTAGGACTGGGAAACTCTGTTTGGCCATGTACATCTGTAACACAGTGATAGAGGAAGAATATCACTCTTACAAGAACCATAGGAAGCCCCTGAGCTCCTACATGAGAAGTTTAGCCCATCCAGTGCCATCACTGACTCAGTGACAACAACAGCAGGTCACTTCCCAAGGAGCTAAAAGACACTTCCTTCTTTGCAAGTCATGGGTATTTGTTATAGCATCAGAAAGTGGATTGGCACACTCACTCAGGCATATTGTGTAAATCTTGCCTGGAGCTAGCAGCAAGACGGTCAATGTTGTCTTCCTTTACTTATTACCTTCTCTGGAGAATTTCTCTTCCATTTATCAGTGTACATGTATGTTGCCCCCTTGGAATGTATATACATAAATATTGACAAAAAAAAAAATAGCTGGGCCTTATTGAGCAGGGCTGTGATCCTACCTACTACTTAGAACCAAGGCAGAGAATATCAAATCCAAGACCTTTCTGGGCTACAAAATAAGTTCAAGACCAGCCTGAGCAACACAGTGAGACTTGTCTCAAAATGTTTTAAGGGGCTAGGGTGTAGCTTAGTGAATGAACATTTACCTAATATACATGAGGCCTTACATATGATAGCCAGTAGTGCAGAGATTGGGGGGGAGGTTGTTTGAAAATCCAAATGCTCTTTCCAAAAGTATTCAAACACAGTATTAACTGGAGTGGATTTTCTTCTAAATGACTCAAATTTGGATCATGCTGTTCGTTTTCCAGTTAGCACTGGCTAACTGAGAATAATCCAAATGCCTGGAATATTTACCTAGTAAAATAAGTACTAAGAACCTTTTTCTTCAGGGTACCATGACTATCTTTGTTCTGCAAATGATACTAATGAGACCCAAAACAGCCACCTAGTGCAAACAGAAATATGGGAATAGCTGAGTCAGGCTGGAGAGCTGGCTGCTAGGTCTGTTTCAGTGAGTAGGATTGGTTATTATAGAATGTCTGGGTAAGTGTGCCAGTCCGCTTTCCATTGCTGTAACAAATACCCAAGACTTAGAAAGAAGGAAGCTTATTTTAGCCCCATGTTTTGGAAGTTTCAGTCCATGGCCAGTTGATCTATTGCTTTTGGCGCCTGTGAGAGGCAGCAAATCATGGGGAGTGGGGGTCTAGAATAGAAAACTTCCCTTCATTGCTGGGATGAGAGGGCGGGGGACCAAGGTGCCAGCCAAGGCCCTGTAACCCGCTCTGAGGGTACACACCCATTGACCTGACGTCTCCCACTGGGCCCCTCCCCTTAAAGGCTCTGCCTTCTTCAGGTAGTGGTATAGCACCACTCTGGGGCCCAAGCCAGATGAAACTAGAATCAGCAGTCTCTTGGAGTAGCATATGTTATCTGGTCTGAGCTGATATTTTGCCTTGTTTGTGGACACTCTCCAGCCCTGAACCTTTCCATGTCTTGCAGGGAGTGAGGCTGACAAGGCCAACAGTATGACAGCAGAGGCGCCTTCCTGAAGCCGTGTGTATATGTACAGGGCTGTACATGCAGGCCGTTCCAAACACTTGTCCTTGTGAATGAATGTTGCTTTGATGTCTATTTTATTTTTTTACAGAAAAAAATATGATATACCTGTTTAAGTGCCTTAAAATGTTTTTGACAAGATCGTTGTATCCAAAACATACTCTGCTGGTAACTATCAAGGATGGACAGTATTTTGGACTTAATTTTTTTTCCTTAATGCAGAAAAAAAGTTGTAGTAAGGAACAAAAAGCTAACAGGTTTTCTTTGTACTGCCTTTCGTGCACAACAGCTCTGTAATAGTTACTGTAACATTTGAAATGAGGTCACACCATCCAGAAACCATCCCCCGGTGACAGGGAAAGATTCCAAAGTCTCCTCGCGCTCTTTGATTCATGCCGTGTGCTTCTTTGTTTCTGTGGCTGTGACGTGCTCTTCCTTATCAACTCAGGAGGGGTCAGAGATCCACAAGATGCTGAGAAGCACAAGGTACCTCATCCCTTGACATCATCTTCTCTAGACATCCCTTCAATCAGTCCATGCACACCCCAGAAACTCTTGAGTCCCATCACAAGAGTGTAGGGGAATAGCTTACATTTATTATGAGCTACTTCAAAGGAAGGCCTGATGTGAGTACTGAGGTGGCTAAGATTTTTTCATTCCTCTTTCAGTATACTCTCCCTCTTTCTTTCATACTTCCTTTGTTTCCCATTTCACTTACACACTCACAAACAGCCCAGTGCAACACAGAAAACCATCAGTCATTTGGAGAGTAGCAACAGTTAACAGTGGGTTATGTTCACATTCCACAGCTAGGACCAAGCATCTTTCCTGTTACACAGTTCCAAATTGCTCCTGTTGGCAAGATGTAGCCTGTTACACACTTTAATTAAACACTTGAGTCATTTCAAACAATCTATGGATGAGAACATCCATCACTCATTTGACAAATGTTTGCAACATCTCTTAAGAAATCAAATTATATTGCCCTTAGGAGTCAAAGAAAACATAAGGTCATGGACGTGAGCAAATGTTACATGTCTACACTGCCTAGTCAGGAGGAGAGAGGGGCCAGCACTGAAGGCGCAAGACCATCCAGTAAGCAAGCTGTCAGACAGAACTCATCCTGGAACTGGGCATCAGCTTTCAAAGGAGTATCTGATACTGCCTTCAGTGGTCAGAAGAACTTCAGCTGACCCCAGCAGAAAATAAAACAATACTAAATGGCCAGAACATTTAGTACATTGAGACAGTTGCCTCATAACAATCTTTCTTGTATATCTGTAATACTTACTTAATACTTTCTTGATTTAACAGGCAAACTGGCTTCATGGGTCTCTCCAAGGCCCTGCTGTCTCCTCAGCTGCTGCCTTTCTTGTTGGTAGTGGTGGCTGTAGTGCCACGAGGAAACAATCATTCCTTCAGAAATCATCGGGCTTGCTGGTGGTGCTAGTTTCCATCATTGTTAGCATAGTTAGTGCCAGTGTTGCGGTGTTAGCATCTGACCTTTCGGTTGGATGTCTCAGGCCCTCATAACTCACCAGGGCTCTATGGCTAGCGCCAGGCCTTGCAAAGATCCGTGCTGAACAAGCTGTGGGGACACTCCTGGGAGAAGGTGGTGATGACTCCACTGGGAAGGGTGACACTTCCATGCAGCAGAAAGGTTTTCAAGTTTTGTCCCTAGACACTTCCTGAACTTTAGAGGAAGTGGAAGCTGTCTGTCTGTCTGCCAGAACTGTAGTCTAAACCGCCCATGTCATGTCAACACTGGTCTCCTTCAACGCCTCTACCTCTCTAACCCTGCAGTGGCCGTGGCTGTGGGATAAGATTCAACTGAAAATGCTATGAGGATATTGTATCTTTTGCTTTAAAAATGTGTTTTGTTTCCAATAATCTGACTTACATCATCACTCTTGGTGGCTTTAGTAACATGTCTGTGGCTACTTCTCTTTTTACACAAATGGGATAGCGTGTTTTTCCATGGTGAGCAAAAAACAGAATCAAAATTTATTTTAATTCATGCACATTAGTATCTAATTAGCAGCTTAAAATATTTTCCTATGTTTATGCACTGTCAATTCTGTTTTATACATTTGTTTGTCCAAATGTATTTATAAAAGAAATACATTAGCTTATATTTATGGTTACTCATTTTTCCACCTTGGATTTGTTTTTTTAACAGCTGAAATTTTAAAGAATGGTAATGTAGTCTTTATACATGTTCCAAGTTTCAAGATTTTTTTGGATTTTTTTAATTCTTCCCTATTCTGTTTTTAACTGACACACCTCTGGTTGACGCTCAGTGTTTATGCTAAATACCAAATTTTTTCAAAGAGATGGCTAAGTAATGAAGTGGGGGTTATTTATAATAAATGGAAAATAAAAAATAATTCTATGATTAAACAAAGACTACTTGAGGAATCAAAAATCTGTGGCTCATTTTCACGTGATGTCTGACTCACTCACACTGCTTTCCAAGGGTTTCTCAGATTCATTTTGGCTCAGTGCACTAGGAAATATGAGTAAACGGTACCTGTATCCACCCTACCTCCACCCCCACCATGCCGTAACACTCCATTTTAATACACTGTCTGTGCATCAGAGTTAAGAACCAAAACAGGAACACTTGCAGCAGAGCGACAGGACTGAGGTGCTGCGGCGGGCTTCCCCTCCCTTGTCATTTCTGATGAGTGGGAAAGGATGCTCCAGCAAGCTCACCCAAGCCCAGGGCTTCTTTAGTGAGCACGTTGCCTTGGAGAATGCCACGTCTTTGTGTTCTTGGGTTTCATCTTGCCTAGAAAGCCCAGTGTAAATGTCACCTCTTCCAGGAGGCTTTCCAGGGTTCCCAGTAAGTGCTGGTCTCGCCAAAAGCCCCTGTTCCAAACGTCAGTTGACACGTCTCCTCCAGTATAGTGCACATATATGTTGTTCTCACAGTCACAGCCAAGAGTTGGGGGAACACCCTCAATAATTCATTCTACATAGGTCACACTGATCTGATTTGACAAGTACTTTATACTTTACACACATTTAAAAATTTCTTTACTGAATTCTGATATGCTAGAAAGCTATAAACATTAACATCACTGTTAGCTTTAATTTGTATATAGACAATAATCAAAAGGTCTCCTAAGACCTTATGTTTGTTCACAACTCTTACAGTGTAGAACAGTTTTCTCAAATAAGTAAAAATCCTTATATGCCTCAGAGGACTTATCTGCTGGCCCCATTTTAAGGAACAGTGTTTACTTAGTGCCGTTACACCATGAGGACTACTTTGTACCAGCATGGATGTCATCAAGCCATGGGCACTGATATCACCAAATGAACAAGCCTGACTGAAGTGGCCAGCTCCTAAAGCAGGGCTCTGCCATATGCTCTCCTCACACAGAAAAGGAACTTGGCTCCACTGTTTGTTGTCAATGGAATTGTGAACACGATGGATATTTGAAGATACGCAAACTTAAATGGTAACCATCCATGGTCTTGCCCCCATCACCATGTCCCTTGGGATTCCCAGTAACCTCCCTCCCCATCTCCACACACTAGTCCCCAGTCTGCCCACACGTAGTTATCTCAAGTGCTTTCTCCCCTGCTTAGATGAGCCTCGGGGCCTCCTAGTAACCCAGTAGATTCTCTAAAATCCTACCTGCCCTTGACTTCAAAGACCCAACAGAAGCTTCAGACTTACCGTTTTCTGTTGTTCACATGGTTCTCACTCCTGATCTGGTGAGTCAGTGTGAGGATCCTTAGGTGCAGGAAAAAAGTGTACCCCCAGAAGGCACAATAAGAAGGTACCATGTTTCTACCAAATGCACCAGGGAGAAAGACTATAAATGTGTGGCCCATAGCAAACAAGATAAAAATAGATGATAGACTTGGTTCAAAACATTGAGCAAAGGCTGGAGAGATGGCTCAGGGGTTGTGGGCACTAGCTGTTTTTTTTTTTTTCCCCCCAGAGGTCCTGAGTTCAATTCCCAGCAACCACAAGATGACTTAAACCATCTATAATGAGATCAGATGCCCTCCTTTGCCGTGCAGGCATATGTGCAGACAGAACACTGTATACATAATAAATACATCTTTAAAAAAATATATTGAGCCAGCTCAGTGGCTCGGCAGGTAAGGGCCTGTCTGATGCCCTGAGTTCGATTCCTATAACCACATGACAGATGGTGAGAACTGACTCCCACAGGTTGTTCTCTGACCCTCACTGTGTCCCACACAGAGCACACACTCACTGAAATAGATGTAATAAAACTTTGAAAAATCAGGACACACATTTAAATGAGCTATTATTTTTCAGCCTACAAGATTGGCAAAATCCTTAAAATTTCAGAGAGTAACAGGGTAGGTATTGTACTTCTGCCCTCTTAGTGAAAGCAGACAGGATAGAGTTTGTGGTGGGCAGTCTAGTGGTCAAAGCTTTATCCGTGTCCTTCCATAAAGTTCTTTCATTTCCTGAGTCTACTCTATAAAAGGATCGATGGACAAGAATGTTTTCCGAGCTTTGATAGGCCATGCAAAGCAGGGAAATGTTTAGTGGAACTCTGACAGGACAAGGCTGCACAGTGCGGTCCGTGCACGCCTGGAATCCCCGCCACTAGGCAAGGAGGGCTGGAGTTCAGGGTCAAGCTTGGCCACACTGTAAGTTCAGTCAAGGCTACAAGACCCTGTCTTCATTGGAAAGGGGGGGGGGGCGCGAGAGAAAGGACATTGTCTTGTAACAGTGTATATGGGGTAGGAGGGAAGGTAAACCTGTTGAAACCCTATGATGTTACTATGTACATGTTGTATGTGTAGGGATGCCTTTGCTCTATTAAAGCACAAGTTTGGACAGAGTTACTGCTAACATTTCTGTCCCTCTTCCCCGGTGCCTGCCATGATGACAAGTAGTTTATACACATTATCTTGGTTAACTCCTGAAGCAGTACCATGAGATAGGTAAAGTTAATCCCCATTTTTCAGATGAGAAAATCGAGACACTAAGCGGTGGGCTAAGGCCACAAAGCTAGTGAAAGAGAGTGTTTTATTAGCATAAATTTGGCAGTTGGAGCTCCAGGAAGCAGACATGAGGAGTAGGTGTCTGCTTTTTTGTTTTATTTTGATCACACTTTGGAGGGTTAGAAGCATGCAATACAAACTGGGACCTCTGCTGTTTCTTGAGGGAATGCCTTATTCACCACAGCCATGGCAACTGGTCAAGCAAAACATGGTTTAATTAAGAAAAATGAAGTCTCTAACTAGCCAGGAGCAGACCAGGGAGGTAAATGGTTGTCCTGCAAAATAAAGTGGGGGGAGTTTTGGGCTAGCTAGGGAAATGGTACTGAGAAATCCCAAAGTGAGGGGAAGGCAGGAGGGGTGAGGGAGGTCAAGGGCTCACAGAGTGAGTGCAGACTGTGCACAGGAAAGCTGGGGTGTGGACCATGGGAGATGTATGCATGAGGATGTTGGCTTCTGGTTCTGTACCAACAAAGGGACAGACAAAGGGGAAAAGGAGGGGGGAGGAAGGGAGAAAAGGGGTGGGGACAAGCCACCACCCAGTGAATTGGTGAGGAGTGGCAGGTGGCCCAGAGTGAGCTCATTGTGGGGACTGTCCCCCTGCCTGGGCCGTGCCATTCCATGAGCTAGGGTTCAGGACTGAGGAAAAGGGGAAGCAAGCCAAGGACTGCCAGCCAGTCGTTCTTTGTTTCCCCAGCCACACACCCCTCACTGGATATTCTAGATGCCCGGCCCCCTAGGGTCCTGCAGAGCTGCTGTCGGTGTGGTTACTTGTGGTGGCTTTGCCAGTGGAGCTGGACCCTTTTCTGTGTCGTTTCGACCATGCTGTCCAGGCCTGTCATTTACTGTCTCACATGTTAGTAGGAGGCTAGGCTGAGGAAGTCCCTGCAACCTTTGTCACAGTGCTTGACTCTGGCTAAGAGCATGGTGGTGTCAGCTGTGAAGACAACAGACGGGGCTCGTGCAAATCAAACTGTGTGTGTGCAGTCAGACTGTGCTAGCCAGCATGTCTCCACGCTTCGTGACTACTTATGAAGACCAGGAAATGTCACTAGAAGTCAGCAAGTGGCCAGGGAAGGAGTCTGTTTCATTGGATAATGAAGATACTGGATGCTAAATTGTAAACGGTTGTTTCCCCAGAGCACAGAGACAAGGACATAGTCACAGTCCTCCAGGCCCACCTGTTCTGCTTGGGCTGTATCTTTTCCTGCCTATCCCAAATGCCCCGAGTCTGGTGACTGTAGGAGCTGTCCTTACTAGTTCCCATCAACACCTTTGGAGATAGGTGCCTCTGAGTTGTCCTTGTGGCAACTGCCCTTTCTGAGGGCTGCTCCTTGGGCATCAACTGAACTGCCCCTTCTACCCCATTAGGTGTCATATCCACCCAGCCCTGATTTATATTTACCCTTCACAGTTCTATAATGTTGCCATTTCCAGAGATCTGTGCCATAGATTTTTCTCTCCAACCCATCGTTAGGAACTTCAAGACCAATGTCAGTCAACTGTCCTGCTGCCAAGCAGGAGCTCTGGGCCTGCTGTAAGCAGGAGCAGCCGAATAAGGAGCTCTGGGCTCCTATTTTTAGTTGCACTGTGGCATCTCTGCATGGATGTCTCCAAGCATCCCAAAGTCCAGATACCCAAATGAAAACTCTGTAACCTTTCGTTCCCACACTCCATCCTCCCCAGGCCAGCTTCCTCTGTTGGCATAGCAACCACCTGCTTCTCTTCCCCCTGCAACCTTCACAGCCCACTTTCCATACTCAGATAGCTTTCCAGTGATTCATCTATAAAACTGTTCTTTATCTCCACCTCCTCCTCCCTCAATGCCCTCTGTTACCTCCTAATGTTTGTTTCTCCTGCAGGAACCCCTGACAACCTATAAAACGCTGCTGACATCTGTGAGTTGTCTACTATGTGCTCAACATCGTTAAACACACACACTACAAATGAGTTATGCCATTTTCCATTTTAACAGTTTTAACACTGGTGTAATGATTCCCATTTTACAGATAGAAGGTAGAGGCCCATAAGGAACTACCAAGTTCCACAGCTCATAAGTGACAGACAAAACGCAGATTTCACTGCGTCTTGGATGTGGCCAACCCTTGTGCTTCCAGACGCGTCGAGTGTCCTTTCCTGTAGAGTTAGTCCACAGTGCCTCTAAATGACACACTTACTCGTGTGTCTTTAGAACTCTGATAAACAGCCTGATCAGCTGACCCTTTTTTATTTTGAAGTTTTAGATTATGAAACAGTATCTTCAGAAGGTGGCATGTGATTCAGTCACCAACCAGTGTCCAGGAGACACTGTACTGATCAACATGCAAAAGTTCCAAAAACCACCACCCCCTTTATAATAAAAATCCATCCAAGTGAGGCAATTACTCAGTTGGTAATGAGCTTGCC